TTATGTACACACATACACACGTACACACACACATATAGAACTACAGTCCATTCCATTCAGTCCACTTCACTCGTAGCTGGCGTGTTGTTTGCCCGTAGTCAAATTATTTTAAATTGTATCCTGTAACAGTTAATTTTTGGTCAGTACAACATTCATTTCTTCGGTTCACAGCTGAGAGATTCCCCAATTCTCACCTCCCAGTTGGACACGTTGGTTCATAGTTCACCAGGAGCGGCTACATTGAGGGCGAAGGCGGCCATGGTCTCTCCCTTCTTGCCCGATGCCTTGGCGACGTACTGGCCGACGTCGGTGCTCGAGCACTTCTTGATGGAGAACTTGTATTTCTTCTTGCCATCGTACTCGAATGTGTACAAGGGGCTAGCTTCGTCTACTGGGTTGCCGTCCTTCAGCCACGTTACTGCAAAGAACATATACAATATTATTCAGATATCCAGCTGACAAGAGGTGAGTAGCTTACCGTAACGTGTGATGGAGTCGTTTACATTGCGTAACGCAAAACGTTGGAAAGTTTGCGTTATGGTTGGAGATTGTTACAAAATAAAAATTAGACGAATGTCGGTTGGGGTTCTGAATATGTTGACGTACCTTTCTCTGGCTTCTTCTCGAAGTCACAGGTGAACGTGGCAGCCTCTCCCTCTGTCACTGTCGTGGACCGCGGGAATGTTTTGAACACAGGGCTCTTCTTCTCCTCGTTTGGCACCACCACGGTGAGCGTGCAACTACTGAACGACTCGCCCTGGTCGTTGAATGCCTCGCAGGTGTAAGTACCAGAGTCTTCGGGGAAGATCTCGGCAATGTTGAGCTTGTAGATGTTGGCCTCGTTGGTGTACTCAAAGTCCTTGGACGGCTTGATCTCCTTGTTGTTGTGTAGCCAGACTACGTCGAACTTCTTGGCGCCGATGATCCTGCACGTCAGGACGACGGGCTTGCCGTCCTCCACAAACTGTGAGGATAGGTGGTCCACGATGTGGGGGGCCTTGTCGTCCGACTTGGACCCTTGCTTGCTACCAGGCGTCATGGCTGCAAAATAAAAACGGCGGATTTTGGCAATTGTGTAACAGAAAAAAATGTTAACAATGGTCAGTAACTTCACTTGCTAACAGTACTCACGTTTCACTGACAGTTTGCAGGTGGTTTCCGCGGTGCCCATGGTGTTTGTTGCCTTGCAGGTGTAGGAGCCCTCGTCCTCGGGGAAGACCTCGTTGATGGCGAGAGTGGCGATGCCGCCCTTGTACTTGAGGTCGATGGAGTCCGAGGAGGCGAGGGGCTGTCCGTTCTTCAACCACGACACCTGCGGGTCAGGGTCGCCCTTGATGGCGCAGTTGAGCGACAGGGGCTCCCCGTCGTTGACGGTCCTGTCCTGGAGCTTTGTTGTGAAGCTGGGCGGGCACATCAGGGAATCATCTGGGGGCACTGCGGAGAAAAACGGGGGCAAATTGAGTTGTATGACAATAATCCTTTTGTTGTCATTACGATTTTTATACATTATTCAATTATATACGTACGGATCAGTTCTTTTGTGGCGCTTCGCGACCTTGAAGGACTACCAGTAGTATCTAGTTTAGAGCCGTATTTCTTAATGACCCTCTTGTCTGTTGTAGTTTCAGTGTGGTCCTTATTTGCACCAATCTGCGTATCAATAACCAACACGGATTGTAAGTAAGGTACACTTTCGAGCAGTTAATTGACACTAATGATTTTCGTTGTGTCCACCCTTACCGTTGTGTTTCCGATTGATGAGGGGTTGTGCGAGGTGGTCTGTGTGGTGACCGTGTCGCCCTGGATGTTGGTTCGGATTGTCACCTCCATGGGCGCCGGTCTGAGGGGTTGTTCGATGAACCTTCTCTCGCCGGAGTGCAGAATGTTTTTGGCCATGGCCTCGTTCTCGGGGTTGCTGGTCGTGGGGCTCTCGACAATCACGACGCAGGAGGTCTCATCCGTGCCGTGCTTGTTGGTGGCGACGCAGCGGTACTTGCCGGAGTCGGAGGGCTTGCAGTCTACGATCTCCATGCTGACCACACCGTCCGAGTGCGACATGGTGTACTCGTACTTGGACAGCTCCCTCTTCTCCTTAAACCACTTGACCGTCGGCGGCGGCTTGCCGCTGACACAGCACAGCAGCTTGCACGTGTCTCTGCTCTGCATGACACGCGGCCGGAGCAGGAAGGTGAAGCTGGGCGCGCTCTCCTTCTCCTCCACCCAGTACATGGGCGCCGGCTCGCGTCTGCGGATCGGCGCGGCCTCGGGCTTGTACTCGGGCACCACCTTGGGCAAGGCTACGGGAGGGAGAGAGAGAGAAACCAGTCTTGAATGAAAAAACACAATTCTTGTCAAAAACGATTAAACATCGATGTCCCTCCCCCTTTACTCACGCTGGACGTTGAGGAAGACGACCTCCTCCCGAGAGCCGTAGTGGTTCTCGGCGCGGATGATGTACTCGCCGCGGTCGTCCAGCTTGCACCGGTTGATGACGAAGGTGTAGTCCTCGCCGGCGTACCGCTTCATGTACTTGACGCTCTGCTTGAGCTCCTCGTTCTGGTGGTACCACGACAGCGTGGGCGCGGCGATGGCGATCACGCGGCACGTGAACTTCACGCTCTGGCCCTCGTACGCGAACGCGCTCTGGGGCTTGATGACGAACCGCGGCGCCGCTTGCCGCCGGTCTGCGTGGGCGGGAGAGGTAAAGGTTTAGTAAGAGATTGTTTCCGTACAACGTGACTTTTGGGCGATAGAAATATTAGCGCCCTTAAAGTATCAGGATAGTCATTGGAGTCCATACCGTAGGGAGGTGATATTTTTCCCCCGGGTCACAAATATCATGGGGCTCCTATCGACTCCAATAACCGTCCCGGTTCTTTTGGGAGCCCATAATATTTAAACCTCCCACTCCCACACCCACCCCCAAGGCACGCCCACGCCCTACTCACCGAACGAGGTGTCTGAGATCTTGTACTTGTCGAGGAGCATCTTGCGCAGGGAGCTGTACTCGGACAGCCTGCCGATGGGCAGGAGGAATGAGTCCCAGTTGCTGTACTTGGAGCGGATCTTGTCGCGGATCTTGGTGTAGCGAGACGCGGGAATCTCCTTGGTGCGGTCGCTGTGGTCGCCCTTGAGCCAGGGGTGCTCCAGGCACTCGTGGGCCGTCATGCGTTTTCTGGAAAAAAGACGGAAACGAGGCGTGCGGTCAACGGTCAGAAAAAAGCCATTCACTACAAAAAATACAAATCGACTACTCACTCCTTGATCTTGACAAGCAGTCTCTTGATAAAGTCTTTGCCCTCATCCGACACGTTGGCGAATGCATCCGTGTCGAAGTCCCAGTCGCAAGCCTTGACGTTCTTCAGGGTCTCGATGTCGTTCTCCCCGGCGAACGGTGACAGTCCACTTAGTCTGCGAGGCAGAAGTAAAAGAAATGAGTCCGTGAAAAACGAAACAGTACAGGACACAGACTGCTGCAGAATCTTGGTGCAAGGAAACTTACAAAACGTATCCCAAAACACCAACAGCCCACATGTCCGTGTAGAAGCCGACCGGTTCCCTCTCGACGATCTCCGGCGCTGCGAACTCCGCAGTGCCAGTCGAGATCTTGACCACCTCGTTGGGATCCAGCTTGGTGGCCAGGCCGAAGTCGATGAGCTTGACGTTGGTACCGGTGCGGGTCTGGCACATGATGTTCTCGGGCTTGATATCTGCAACCAGCACGCACAAAGTTTAAAGAGCGAACGCAATGATAGAACTACAAACGAAACGAGCACTGAATGAAGAGGAAACGAACCCAAGTGAATGATATTCTTCTCGTGCATGTGTTTGACCGCTTCGCAAATCTGTCTCATGTAGTTGATAACCTCAGCCTCCGACATGCTGTAGCCCTCTGCCGTGATGCGCTCGAACAGCTCACCACCCGACAAGCTGTGGAAAAATTGTTTAAATTAACATCAGTAAAATATATAAGACTGTGCAAGATTATAATGTGTCGAAAAGCAATATGTGTATTGGAAGAAACTCATGGGCTGCCTATTCATTCGTCGGGGAAAATATATACTTACAATTCGAAGATGAGCACCATCTCGTCGTCATCCTCGAACGCGTCGTGCAAGTTGATGAGCTTGTTGTGGTGCAGCTGGTTCATGATGTCGATCTCCTTGCGGATCAGTTCCTTCTCCATAGCGTGCGTGACGGGGATGAACTTGGCCGCGAAGATGTTGCCGGTCTTGCGCTCGCGACAGCGGTGCACCACACCGAACGCGCCGGTGCCGATCTCCTCCAGGATGTCGTACTCGTCGTACACGCTGTTGGTCTTGATGTCGACGGGCTGCGGCACGTACTTGGAGTACACGTCGAACACGTACTTGTCGTAGTCGGTCACCTTGCCCTCGCTGCGGCCGCGGATCTTCTTGCCGTTCTCGTCCAGCTCGTACTTGGGCTTCTTGGGCGCCTTCTTGGGCAGCTCCTTGGTCTTGATCACGCCGGACACGGGGCTCGGGTCGCTGCGGCCGTACACGTTCTCGGCGTACACGCGGAACTCGTACTCCTTGCCGGGGACCAGGCCGGTCACGGCCATGCCGGTGAACCGGGTGCTGCCGATGCGGATCCAGCTGCTCATCGGGTGCTCTCGCTTCTCCACCAAGTAGTTGGTGATGTTGGAGCCACCGTCCCAGGCGGGCGCGTTCCACTGCAAGGCCAGCGAGTCGTGGCCGATCTTGTCGACCGTCAGGAATGACGGCGGATCGGGACGATCTGCAAAGGAGAACGTATAAAGCAAATATGAAAAGGTTGAAGGTCGGAGGAATGAATCCAAACCCCACAATGTGTTCCGACAACTTACCGCTGATCTGGACCTTGATGATGGCGGTGTCTGAGCCCATGTCGTTGACGGCGGTGATGGTGTACGGCCCGTTGTCGATCTTGCTGACGTCGCGGATCGTGAGCACGGCGTGGCGCTCCTTGACCTCGACGTGGAAGTGGCCGCCGGACTCGATCGTCTCGCCCTCGCGCGACCACGTGATCCTGGGCTTGGGGTGGCCCGTGAAGGGGATCTTGATGTCCACGTTCTCGCCCTTGTCGAAGAAGGCCGTGTCGCGGAAGCGCGGCGGCACGTTGATCTTGGGCGCGCTGTTGATGACCAGGTCGGCGCGCGTCGACTTGACGCCCGCCTTGTTGACGGCGCGGCACACGTACTCGTCCTCATCCTCGCCGTACACGTCGTTGATGATGAGCGTGTGCACGTCGCCCTCGCTGTAGATGTGGTGGCGAGAGCCGCTCGTGATCTCGCGAGCGCCCTTGTACCACGTGATCTTGGGCTTGGGGTGGCCCGTGATGGTGCACTGGAACTGCGCGTTGTGGTTCTGGATGCAGTTGGCGTTCTTGAGCGGCTTGACGATCTCGGGCGGCGTGGGTCCCTTCGGGTCCTTGATGCGGATCGAGCTCGAGTTGCTCGACGGTTCGCTGAGGCCTGCCTCGTTCTGGGCGAACACGCGGAACTCGTACTGCCGGTCCTCGATGAGGTTGCTGATGTTGATCTGCGTCGGCTGGCAAATGATCGGGTTGACGCGCACCCACGCGGACCCGCCCACCTCGCGCTTGTCGATCCAGTAGCCCTGGATGCGGGCGCCGCCGTCGCTGTCCGGTCGCTCCCACTCCAGGTTGACGAAGTCGCCGCCGACCTCGGTCACCTTGGGGATGCCCGGTGGTGACGGAGGGTCTGCGGGTGCGAGAAATGTCACCGTCAGCCAGCTTCCCTAGACTCACCCAACGGCCACCGGAATGCACATCGCTGTTGACTTACCGAACGGCGCTCGCGCCTTGATGGGGTTGGTTCCCTCGAGCGGCGGCCCGGCGCCGTTCTCGTTGACGGCCATGACCCGGAAGAGGTACGAGTTGCCCTCGATCAGGCCCTGGCACTGGAAGGTGGTGTCGCGGCAGTAGCTGCTCACGATTATCCAGTGCGACGTGTTGACGTCCTTGCGCTCCACCTGGTAGTGGGTGACGCGCTGGCCTCCGTCGTACGCGGGCGGCCGCCAGTGCAGGGTGCAGGTGTGCTTGTCGATGTTCGACACCTCCAAGGGTCCGAGCGGCGGTCCGGGCAGACCTGGAGCAAGAGACAGGGGCGTGCGTGAGCGGTGATCACCATAAGTGTAGGGTGGAAGGACCGAGGCCGAGGGGAGGGCGGGCGCCCGACCGGAGCGGATACTCGCCCGCTGGACACGCCGGTGGAGTGGGCTGCCTACCCCGCGCACCGCAGGCGCTAGTGGCGGACTTGGGTCGTGGGAAGTGTGTGAGACTGAGCGGTTTAACTGCAGTTCCAGCGTTTGGGGGG